CACTAATAATCAAAAGGTCATATCTTAAAAGTAATTTTATTTCTTATCAAAATTACTCAGTTTTTGTCATAATTGTGGCTTGTCATTGTGTGGCTTTTACTACTAATAATATATACTTGTGCATCTGTTAAACTCACCTTTCAGCAATACACTACTGATGTATATCACCTTGATAAACAAGCACAGTGACAAATATCAGTTATTATTATTATTATTGTATAGGAAGTGATTGAAATATCTGAAAAATTTAACACACCATTGACTACAAGTAAGTGATAATATTTACAGTACAGTATCACAATTTTGGAGTAAGAGTGTACTTTATAACACTGCGGACTCTTTTTTATTCTTATACTATATGTACATGTATAGAGCCAACAAGTCAAAAAGTGAACTCATCCACACAGATCAGTGAGTCTGATCTTGATATTAAGGTAACAGTTATCAGAAACACTCCTCATCATCATTATTTTACTATATTGTGTGTGTAGGGAGATGGAGGAGTAAAGTGTAATAATAATAAAGATAAAGGAACAACAACCAACACTTTGAATGAATCTCAGGAACATGGAAGTACTTCAATAGAGAAAGGACAGTCTGGTAAGATATGTATGCATCATTCATTAACAAACATTATTATAATTATTGTACATTGAACTATACAAACATTATGTGTATGTATCAAGTATTATTGGTATTTAATATAATGTATAGATATTGATGTACTTAAGATCAATGATGAAGTACAAGAAACACTCACTGATAAACTGCTTGGTAAGACTAAGAGAGTATGTTACAATTGTCAAGTAGTGGGAGTGTATAGTACATGTACCATACAGAAGGAAATTTTAGAGGGACTAAATTTTGGCGAATTGCTAAATTTTTGGTGATTGGCGAATTTTAATTTGGCGAATTTGTGGCCACATGCCATTGAGCATGCGCAAATTGGCTCAAAATGGCGGGTTTTTATTTTGGCAAATGGCTATTAAAACGCCAAATTCGCCAAATTTAAGTACTTCCAAAATTTCCTTCCATACGGTATATACATTAATTATAGTGACTGGTTTAATAATGTTTGTATCATATTTATACTTTTATATAGAGACAATAACCCAAAATGACAAACCAGCTACTAATTACTCACCCACACAGATCAGTGAGTCCAATGATGATCAACAAAAAGGTATAACCACTCACTGTTACTAGTTTCACATTATTTATTTATTCATAGTTATATTGACTATCAGGGATCTGGTTGATATTGTACGAGTGTTAAAAGATTGTAAATTTCAAACTATAAAATGGTTTGATCTTGGTCTCTACTTGGGTCTGATTCATAATGATCTCAAAGTTATTGAGACTAATTATCCACGAGATACTGAGCAATGCCTTAGAGAATGTTTAGCAAAATGGCTTACAGATGATATTGAAGCAACATGGGACAAACTAGCTATTGCTGTAGGTGAAGTAAAAGAGACAACAGTTGCTGAATATATAAGTGAGATTATATACTGTAATTAATAATATCGTTAATTAATGATTGATTCTACTCTAGAGGAACAGTATGTGCGTGATTAGAAGAAGACAAAGTGAGAGCAAGAGTGAGAGGGAAAAGAGGTCCCATATTGTACTCCTTCCTCATAGCTAGTTTAATGTGTTCATTCATTGTCAGTGTACTAATTAGCTGAGCTGTCATCATGTACTAATTTCCCTATCTCTATAACTAGAATTATTACTGATAGCATCAAACTATGTTTATTATTATAACTAATGTTTATCACCTAATGAATATTACATGTACTGCTGTAAAAGGAAACCTAATTATATTTATAAACTTGTTTGTGTGGTCTATAGTATTATTGAGTGTAGCACATGATTGACATGAACTAGCAAAGGTTAACAATGCAACACTGATTAAAGTCAGTGATAATTTGTGGCAAGATGATATTAATGCAAACTTTTAACAATGATAAATGGCAACAAATGCCTTGTTCACAATACTTAAGTTGTACCAGAAGTACTGCATAATGCAACAGTGAAATGCAAAAATAGAACGTGTGAATTGTGAACAAGGTTTAAGAGAGCGAGTGTAAGGTTAGTTGGTTCAGTTTGTTCATTCATAGTTTCATAGTAAATTGATATCAGTAAAATTAAATATTAAAAAAACTGTAATAGACGTATAAATGATTCCATCATAAAAATCAATAGCTAGATTTAATAGTTATAGTGAGTGAAAACCAATTAAAAATTATAATAAATCAAACAAAAATGTCATCTTCCTCTTCCTCCTCCTTCTGCTGCTGTGAAACACTGTTCATTAGGTAATAGTGTCCTTGCAATCTCATCAACTCCTCATGAGTTCCCTGCTCCACAACACTTCCCTCATGAAGGACAGCAATAGAATCAGCTTCATATATGGTAGACAGTCGGTGAGCTATGATAATGGTAGTACGACCTCGTCTTGCTTTATCAAGAGCTTCTTGAACCACTTTCTCGTTTTCGGAGTCAAGAGCTGATGTTGCTTCGTCAAGGAGGAGGATTTTAGGGTTTCTAATTAAAGCACGGGCAATGGCTACTCGCTGCTTCTCGCCGCCACTTAGTTGAGTCCCTCTACTACCAACCATGGTCTGGTAACCCTATAATAATCGATTCTTAATATGTGATGCATCAAATTAGAAAGTATTTTTAGCTTGCATGGCAAATAATACTATAGGAGTTTGATATAATACCGTGACTGTCTCTCTTAATGGACACTCGCTATAGCATACACCTCCATTTAACAGACAGCACCTAGTGTACCAATTACATTCCTTACTGTAT